CCCCCCCTCGCCCCCCGACTCCAACGAGCCGGCCCTGCCCGCGTCCCTGGGCATGAACTCCGCATCGTCACTGCCGCACCTCCCGCAACCCGACGCCCTACAGCCAGCTCCACGACCACCACCTCCACCACTGCCACCACCCTGCCCGCATGAACTCCGCATCGTCACTGCCGCACCTCCCGCACTCCGACTCCCTCAGACAGCCAGCTCCACGACCACCACCACCACCACCACCACCACCACTCGGGCGCTGGCAGAACTGGGTTTAGTGGGACCTGGTTTAGTGATGTGTACTGGGGGACGCCCCCCCCCCGCCCCATTCCACTAACCGGAACTGCCGTCACCCGAAAAACACTAGCTACGGCAGACCTGGTTTAGTGATTCTGGTCAATTTAGGGGCCCCGGGGCCCTACTACTAACCGGTTCCCCTTGCCTGGGGTCCTGGCTATACGCGAACCACCACTGCCACCACTCTGTCCGCGTCCCCGGGCATGAAATCCGCACCGTCGCTGCCGCACCTTCCGCAACCCGACGCCCTCACACCATCACCACCACCACCGCCACTGCCACCACCACCACCGCCACCGCTCCCAGGCCGTGGACCCGTACTCCAGCCCGGACCGCACGAACCGCATCGGCCTCAGGGCGATCAGCGGCTCGGCCGAGGCCGCAGGGCACTCTCGCCGGCGCTGCCGGCAGCCTGCGGCTGCAGCGCCCCCAGGGGAGCAGCGGGGCCCCGCCCATGGAGGGAAGGAAGGGCCGCGGGGCGGGGGGGGGGCGACCTCGCCGACTGCATGTCACCACAGCAGGGCTGCGCCGCAGCGTGAGACGGTCTTGCGTCCTGCGTCGGACCGTGCGCGTTCGGGCCCCGTGCGTCCTCCTCTTTTGGGGCCCCCGTTGCGCCCCCCCCTCCCTCGCCCCTCGCCTGGCGCGCCAGACGGCGCCGCCAGGTGCAGGCAATGGCAGCGTCAGGGAAGCATAGATGCCACCAGCAGTTGCCAGGTGCCAGGAGGATGAGGATGAGGAGGAGGAGGAGGTGGAGGAGGTGGAGGAGGAGGAGGAGGAGGAGGAGGAGGAGGACGACGACGACGACGAGAAGGAGGACTAACGACCCGCCCTCCTTTCCTCTCCCCCCCTGCTCCCTGCCGCCTCGCACCGGGACAACCTCGGACCACGAGAGATCGAATGAATTGGGCGCCGCGGCCCTTCCAAGGCGCTCCAGGACACTCTCAGAGCGTCCTGGAGCGCTCTGGAACGGTTTACAATCAACCCGTATAACAAGGATGCGCGATAAGGATGCAAAGGCCTTGAAAGGCCATGCTGACGCTTTGCCAGCGGGGCGCGGCCAGCGAAAGCGGCCAAGGATGGGCCGAAGTGGGAGGATGCAAGGGTATTCTTGGAAAATTGCTCATCCTTACAAATGCGGGTTGACTGTGTACTGACCCTGGTTCCGCCCGACAGCTGCCGGCCTCGAATCGAGGATGGGATCGTAGCGGAACGCGCATCGAGTTGGGCTGCACCGGCACGGAGTCGGAATCGAGTCGGATACCCCGCGGCAGGTTTCACAATGGTGCCATGCAAGCATCGGTCCGCATCGGATCGTTGGAATATCGGAATCGAATCGGGCCGAGCGGGCCAAACTCGATAGCGAATCGGATCGATCGATTCGAAATGCGCCCTGAAACGATGCGGGGAATGCCCACACAGAAGGCCCAGAACAAGCGAGCACACACACACACACACACATCACCCCTCACCCCTCACCCCTCACCCCTCACCCCTCCTCCTCCTCCTCCTCCTCCTCCTCCTCCTCCTCCTCCTCCTCCTCCTCCTCCTCCTCCTCCCGTTCCGCCTCCGGCGTTGCAACTGTTTCCACGACGTGGGCCCCTACGGACTTCGACCACCTCCCTGGGGCCAACTTTTCCCTGGCCACGTTTTGTGCTACGGCGTCCCCGAGCCAGGAAGCGCGCCCTGAGGACGGGATCATTTGAAGACCAGTCGTCGCGATTTGCTGGCGCCGCCTGGGTCCGAGGGCCCCCTGTCCTCCTCCTCCACCACCACCTCCTCTGAGGGGGAACGTGCGGGGGGACCGGCCCCGGGGTGAAAAAGCATCGACCTGGCATCGGCGGGGCATCACCGACAGGTCGGCGAGAGGCCCCCAGTGGCGAATCCGCACCCTCCTGGCAGGAGTGGTCCATCGGGCTCCCATCGGTGGTCACTGTGCGATCGGGGGTCGATGCTTCCCCCCCCTCCGGGCCTATCCTTAGGGGAACGAAGAATTTGCATAAACATAATAATTCGGAGGTCCGCGCGGATTTCTTGGATCCGCGCTGATCCCCCTCCCTGGCGCGCGGAGCGCGCCAGGGGCGGCGCCGGAGGTGCCGCCAGGGGGCCCCGGCGCCGACCCGAGAAATCCGCGCGGACCTCCGAGTTCTTATGTTCATGTCAGTGCTCGTTCCCCTGATCCTCCCCTCACATTGCCCCATGCGTCTCCCTCCCACTTCGCCGCAACATCCTCCTGCCCCCCCCTGGGCATCGCTCGGACGTCCATTCCCTGTGCCTTTTTCGGTTTCGTGTGTGGATTTTTCGCCAAATCATCAAGGATGCTCCTCGATGGTCCTCGCCGAAGGAAACATGCACACGTCCGAGCGATGCCAAGCCCCTGGTAGCCCCAAGCGCGCTCGCGCGCCGCGCGCACGGGGGTGAGCGGCTTGAGAAGGGGGGCGGACAAGGCGCGAGCGGGAGCGCGCGGAGGGCAAGGCGGAGAGGCGAGGAAGGGGAGGAAGGGGGAGGAGGAGGAGGAGGAGGAGGAGGAGGAGGAGGAGGAGGAGGAGGACGAGGAGGACGAGGAGAAGGAGGAGGTGGAGTAGGAAAAGAAAGAAGGGAGAAGGAGGAGGTAGGGTTAAAGGGAGGGAGGGAGGGATGGGGGAGGAGGAGGAGGGAGGAGAGAGGAGGATCAGCAGCGCAAAGGAGGAGGAGGAGGAGGACTAGGAGGAAAAGAAGGAGGAGGAGGAGCGCAAGTAGCATGAAGCGCAGCCAGTGCCGAGCTTACCTACATGCGGATGGCAGCTTGCGCTGCTCTGAGTACGTTGACATATGCATCGTCACCACGATGTGGAGGGGTCGAATTGTGCTATCGACGTGGAAGCTTGGCACCTTGAATGCGTGGGCGTGTTCGCGCTCGATCTAGGCACTGCATTCGTGCTGCAGGCAACAGGAGCCCGATGCGGACGATAGGGTCGGCGGGAAGAGGAGCATCCGGGCAGCCTCAGCATTCGCACAAGCGGGGGCGCGGGCTGTCTACCTTGACGCGGTGCGTGGTGGTCCAGCCGCCAACGATTGTTTTTAAGGCGAGCCCATGCCCAGGCAAGCCTCGAGACGCGAAGAGCCCTTCGAAGTTGCGGCAAGGTTTGGCTCAACTCCTCTGGCGGCGGGGAGGCTCGGTCATCGAGCCCTGCGTTGCAGCTGCATCGAAGAAGATGGCGCGAGAAAAGACGAAGCGAGCGCGGGAAGATGGACACCTTGGGAGCGGGAGCTGTGGCGAGACTTCTGAAAGCCCGCGTACCCCCCCCCCCCCGCGCAGCGCCAGAACTGAGCGGCTGCTCTCGGTCCGACTGGATCCCCTGGTAGCTCCTCCCTGCCGGGCGGCCTGGCTCGCAGCGTAGGGAGTCTCGAACGAGAGAGTGTGCGCCACAGCGTGCTGCCGTGTGCTTCGGCACATCGCCGTACAATCGCCTGGTCTCGCGCCATAGCGTGCTCGACCACTCGCCGCGCAGAGTCAAGCGCAAGAAGAAGGAAGAGAAGGAGAAGGAGAAGGAGAAGGAGAAGGAGAAGGAGGAGGAGGAGGAGGAGGAGGGGGAGGAGGAGGAGGAGAAGGCGTCCCTCCTCCCTCCTCCCTCCTCCTCCCACTGCGACGCTGCAGCTTCTGACTAGCCCGTTGGCCCGATCGACCGGCCGACCTCCTCCCACTGGCACGGCACGCCCTCGCCGAGCAGGAGCCCCGCCAGGCACGCCTGCCCCCGGGGATGCCCCGCGCCCACCCCGCCTGAAGAAGAGGTCCTTCTGAGGCCCGAAGTCCTCCCTGCCGGTGATGGCCCCCAGGCCTCGGGCGGCGCGCCCGCCGGGCGGCAGAGGCGGGCGGCCCTTGTGGGGGACCGAAAAATGACGCGAAAACATGGAAACTCGGCGGTCCGCGCGGATTTCTTGGATCGGCGCTGGACCCCGCGCCCTGGCCCGCGGAACGCGCATGGGGCGGCGCCAGAGGCGCCGCCAAGTGGGTCCAGCGCGGATGCGAGACATCCGCGCGGACCTCCGAGTTTTTCTGCTTCTGCCATTGTTTCGTCCCCCTACCCTGTCCCCCGTCCTGTCCCCCGCGCCCGCCCGTGCCGCCGCTGCTGGCCCTCCCCTCGCTGAGTCAGGGCTCTCGCGCGCGGGGCGCGCGGCCTGCCCGTGCACGCCAGCCGAGGGGCGGCCCGGAGGCCAGCACGGTGGTGCAGTCTGGCGCTGCTGCCCGGCGACGGCCAGGGGCTGAGCTCTGCGCCACCTCCCCCGCCCCTCGCCAATCGACGCTGCTTGACGCACGTCGACGCTAGATCGACGCCAAATCCGCGCTGGTCGATGCTAGCATCGGCACGTTCTCATCGACCACCGGGGGAGAGCCCACGGCAACGCACTCGAGAGGTGGAAACTTGCGGGCTCCCACTCGCCCTCCCGCGCAGGTCCCGGGCCCCCGAGGAGGCAGCTTCCGGGGAGGCCTCCGTCGGAACTGCCAGCGAGGGGACCGAGCCTGACATCCGGAGCCGCTGGGCCAGGCCGGCCCGGATGAGACCCAGGACGTCGGACTCGCGGGAGCCGGATCAAACGAGATGAAGCGGAACCCGACGGAGTTCTACCGGGTCGGGCCCGTTTCGACCACGGATCTCCCAGCGCCGGTATTGGATTGAACCTCAGGGTTTGCATCACGATTCCCCCCTGGCCGACGAAGCCACGGAGCTCTCAAGCTGTGATCGGGCAACTTCTTGACCTGCCTGGCTCACGAACAAGGTGCGACCCATCATGGTCCCTCAGCCCAGGTCCCTCACGTGGAGGACACGGAGAACGTGTGGCTCGTGAAAAATGAGAACAAGTCCCTGTGCAGGAAGGGGTCAAAGCACACCACGGCGGACGGCAACGACAGCGAGGTCACCAGGCCCGAAGGCCCCGACGTTCCTCACAAGGGGGAGCCCACTCCCTAGGCAAGCGAACTTCATGGCCAGGCTCCCACCTCGGTAAGATCTGTCGGTAGTACTTGAATGTATGGGGAGTTCGTCGACGCACGAGCCAATATCAGTAAATTGTATGTGCAACTTGCGTCGCCCCTCTTGCCATCGTAAGAGCTTATCCATGGCGAATGGCCCTAGAACGTGTCTAACGACTTCTAGAGTTCAGACTCGGCAGCTACGAAACGCGCAAAATAATATGTGATTTCACGAGCACCTGCCTACAACAACAAAAACGGGACGATGGTCGCACATATGCCCTATCATCCTTGCCCAGCTCTTCCGCCATCTCCTTACCCAGTTCCTCCTCTTCCTCCTCCTCCTCCTCCTCCTCCTCCTCCTCTTCCTCCTCCTCCTCCTCCTCCTTCTCCTCCTCCCCCTATCTTTCTCCTCTTCCTCCTCCTCCTCCTCCTCCTCCACCTGCCGCCTTCTTCGTCTCCCCCGTGGCAGAATAAGAGTTCCAAGCATGCAGTGTCGCACGTAACAGCAGCAGGGTTGCCTTCATGGCGAAATGCCAACAAGGGGGTCAATAAAAGTGTAACGGTCCCAGCCCGGGCCACGCGTATCAGACAGTCTCCAGACGGCTTGATGGGCTTGAGTGCTGTGTGTGGTGTCCTCATCCGCCTCGCCGTCTTCTTGTCCACCCCCCGCCCCGTCCTCTACCTTCTCCCCCTCCTCCATCTCACCCTCCTCCTCCGTGTCATCCCCCTCCTACTCCTCACCCTCCCGATGGCCCTCCTCCTTGAACTGCTCATCTTCCGCCTCCTTCTCTCCAACCTGATGTTCCCCACGTTCATGTTCATCCTCCTCCGACTCCGAGGAGGGTTTGGATCGGATCCGCTGGTGGATTTAGCAGGAGCAGAAGAAGGGAGAGGGAGAAGGAAGAGGACGGCGATGGCTGCGATGAGGCGGACAGCTCTGAGCTGGGACACGGCTTGCCTCCTCACCGTGTCCCTGCCCGCTCCTGCTCCCCCCCTCCGCCCGCTCCCTTCCCCCTCCTCCCCCCTCACTCCTCCGCCCGCTCATTCCCCCGGCAGCTCTCATTGAGGCGGGAAAAAATACGGATACCGCTACTCCACGGACTTCTCCTGGGCTGCACTCTGGATACAAGTTGCGAGGAGAGAGAACCCAGCCGTGGCGACGAGAGCTCTCCCGGAAGAGCAGCGGTATCTCTACCTTTTCCTCCTCTGACTCATGCCACTCCATGGCCTTCCGTGGCAGCTCATGGGAGCCTCCCATGCCGTCTTGCTGGCTCTTGCGAATCGACGCTGACCGACGCTAATCTAGGCTAGTCGAGGCTAGATCGACGCTAGATCCACGCTAGTCGGCGCTAGCATTGGCGCTTTCAGTCGACTACCACGGGATAGCCCGCGGCACTGCGCTCCAGAGATGGAAGCTTGTGAGCACACGCTGGGCTCCCACGCAGGTCGCCCCTCGCCCCCTCGCCCTCCCGCGCAGGCCCTGGCCCCCGAGGAGGCAGCTCCCGGGAGCTCCCGGGAGGCCTCCGTGAGAAATGCCAGAAAGGGCGTTGAGCCCGGCTCGGGGCCGCGAGGCCGAGTCGGCCCGGAGGAAGCCCAGGATCACGCCCGCCGAAGCCAGAATGATCTGCTACCGAACATGCCGACTACGCGCAAGAGTGACCCTGGCTGAGAGTGACCACTGGCGCGCAGCTCAGTTTGAGCAGGGACCGACCGTCCCGGCATTCCCATAGTCCTACCACGAAATGTTCTTAGAACCCAAAAACGTTCGAAGAACATAAACAATGTTCTCAGAACATAAGCCCGATGTCATAAAAACAAGACAGGATCCGCCAGAAATGTTCCAAGAACATTTCGTGGGAACCACAAAAGGTTCTTAGAACATTGACTGGTAGGAATAGGGCCAAGACGCTTCGCCACTGCTTGGTCATTGGGGGAGACGCGGGGTGGCCAAAGCTGGGCGCGCAAGCCGCTGCCACCGCTTCGCGCTCCACGCGTCGAGAGACCCCCTGTGGCCCCCACCACAGGCCACTCCGGCGAAATGCCACCCTTTACGTGCAGTCGAGCACGGCCCATGGCACGGGCAGGTCCAGCCGCGCGGCCCGTGCCCGGCGCAGGCCCCGCCCCCCGCGCGGCCGTTCTGCAAGAGGCCGCGCTTGGCGAACAGGCCGGTCTCGCTGTCCTGTGCGGCCGCTCCAGGAGGGGGGGGCGAGGACGGGGCGGAGGGGGAGGAGGAGGGGGGAGGAGGGGAAGGAGCGCAATGG